TGATTGAGCACAGCAGAATGATGTAGAGCTGATTATTTGCAGAGATTGCATCAATTTCAACCTTTGTTTATTCAAAGTTTTAAACTAGCAGATCAGTCACCACACTCAGTTCTCGCTATCAAATTCGGATTATTTTAATTCCCAGAATTTTCACTTGTGCTCTTCCAGTCATGTATCATGATTTCAATCTCAGATGCCTGAGTAGGATGTGATCAAAATGGAAGAAGATAATTAGGAAGTGGGAGAGGAGAAGACAGAAGGAGAGAAGAAAGTGATAAACAGAATTTGAAGGAGTGCTCTGTGGAAATGTTGAGAACAGTGAAGAGACAGAGAATACAGGTTTCTTCTTGCTGAGGAAAGAAGGGTGCTGGGTATCTCTTTGCCAAAAGGAGACTTTCTTTGTGAAAATATTTCTATTTTTAGTCAGTTGTTGGGTTAGCTCAGGTTTGTAAGTTTTGTTCTGTTTGTTGTTTTGGTGGTTTATAACTCTTCAGCCATTGCTGCCTTCCAGCGCCAGGTTCAATTCCAGCCTTGGGTGACTGCCTGTGTGGAGTTGCACTTTTTATATGAATGTCTCTCCTGTGTCAGTGTGGGTTTCCTCTGGGTGCTGCAGTTTCCTCCCATAGTAAGTTAGGTGGACTGGTCAGGCAAAATTGCTTTGTATTGTCTAGGGATGAGCAGGCTAGGTGAATTAGCCATGATAAAAATCCCATAAGGAGTTACGGGGATGGGGTGGAGAGGTAGATCTCTGTGGGATGATTCTGAGAGTCAGTATTGTGTAGACTTGATGGGCCAAATGGCCACTGTCTGCACTGTAGGGATTCTATGCCTCTGTACTCTATTGGAATTCTATACTTCATTCCAAATGAATCCAGAAACAGAAGAAGCTCACTTTCAGAGGAATGACCCTGCAGATTCTGAAAAGTTGCTCACTTTCCTCCAATTTAACTTCCTCAGGAATGCAGAGGAGAGGCTGTTCTAGTGAATATAATCATCAGTGAGCCAACCATAAACCATCTCTAACACATGTTATGGTACAGAGTGTCTGCACCAACAAAAATCGACACTAGACCCATTGTCTTGAGTGTTATTGCATTTCAGGTGTGCATCCAAGTGTTTTTTAAAGGTTTTGAGGATTCCCACTTTAACTCCGCTCCCAGGCAATGTATTCTAACAGGTATGTGATTTTCTCCAAAACCTCCAAAAAGAGGTGAAAATTAGTTATCTCCAGAATTTCCTTCCCTCCTCTGCTCAAGATTAAGAATTTGCTCTGTGAAGGATTGTGAGTAAGATTCTATATCATGGCCATAGTTATGCACTTACCTACTCAGTCTGATCCAGTTCCAATGTCTAGCAGTGTGAAGAATTTACAAAATACATTTCACCAGTGTCACTTATCATTGTGTAATTCCACTTTCATTTGCTGTAGTTGGGACAATCTGTGTTTAAGCGATAGTATGAAATGACAATTTGAACAGTGTGCTACAGTGAATGTTAAGCATATGTAGCCATGTGATGACTTCATCCTAATGCAATGCCAGTCTGACCTATTCAACTCTGGAGCAGGTGCAGGCCGTTTAGTCCTTCAAGTGGGCTCTGCTATTTGAACCTAACTGATCTGGAATAAAAACAGAAATTGCTGGAGAAACTCAGCCGGCCTGGCAGCGTCTATGGAGAGAGAAACAAAGTTAATGTTTTGAGTTCAGTATAACTCTGAAACTCTTTTATTGACCATAACAGTTCTGATTATGACCTCAACTCGACATTCCTGAATAAGTATTACACATTTTGATTCTCCTGTCAATCAAGAATCTGTTCAACTCAATCTTAAATGACTGTGTTTCCACTGATCCTTGGGGAAGAGAATTTTACAGACAAACAACTGCCTGAGATAAAGGAAATTCTCCTCACCTCTGCCTAAAATGGGCAACCCCTCATTTTTAAACTTCTTCTAGTCTCTCACACAAAGGGGAACATCCTTTAAGCGTCCACCCTGTCAAGTCCTCTCAAGATCGCCTCTCATTCTCCTAATCTCTAATGGATACTAAGCCAACCTTTCTTACTTTCTCTCATAAGGTAACACCCTGATCCCAGAAATCAGTTCAGTGAACATTATCTGAAATAGGAGGAAATTAAATCCCCTCTGGAATCTTATTGCAAATTTGGTTTACCTCACATTTTGTGTAACACTATTAGTTAAACTCATACTCAAATTAAATCGTGACAAATTGATCACTTTTAGGCTAATCATAGGAAGCTGGAATAACTGTTACTAGCAATAGTTAACTGATGACCTACATGAAAACTGAGAGATATATTTGATAATGAGATGAAACTATCTAATGCAACCATCTGGCATCACCTTGGAATTTTAGCTGTCATGTAGTGACTAAAAGTGGGAACTAGTCAGCCCCATTTTGCCCCCAGTGCCTTTATAATTTTGAGACACCCAGCGTCCACTGCAATATTCAATGTATGGTCAACTTTAAATTAATTATTCCATAAAGGTGAATTTTCTCGCCAACAGCTTTGCTTCAGGTTCCTTCCAAGATCATCCCAGCAGCTCAGTGAAAGATGCTGGCAAAACAGCTGATAGTTTGTGCTTTTGTAATTCTACATTTGGATCTGTTACTAAGCAACATAACACAACAGAATTTCTCACTCAGTGACAATGTTTAAAAAACATGTAAGCAATACCTGCATTTTACTGAGTTGTTTTGTGAGGAGGAATGGAACAATATCTGATTTCAGTGATTTGCATGCAATTAAGCTATTGCAGTGTGCTTAATTTTATACAGTAGGTGTCAATATGATGGAGGCACATTAGGCCTTCAGTCTGATCTATACCAATAGAGTTAAGCTATTTGTAGCAATAATGTCAGTTCCATTAAAGGTTACAGTGTCACTGCATTCACACAGTCATCTTCACATCAAACATTGATCCCTCAGTGTTGTTCTAATTTCACTTATGCACAGAGAGTCATTCCAATAGATTTTTATGATAACCATTGCAGTTTTTTTTTAAGAAATTAGTTTAAATTCCACCATTGCTATGTTGGAATTTGAAGCCAGGTTCCCAAAGTCTCTGGATTACTACCCCAGTGACAATACCATTAGGTCATAAACTCCCCCATGGGGCTTGATAAGGTTACACTTGGCTTCCTAATTACAAATAACTCAATGACTGAAAGACTATAAAATGTAGTTGTAGATTCACCCCATCAATTCTGCTCTACCATTCAATAAGCTCATGACTGATTTGATCATCCTTAACTCCACTTACCTGCCTTTACCCATATTGATTTCTCTTATTAATTAAAAATCTGTCTATCTGAGCTTTGAATATATTTAATGACCCAGACTCGACAGTCCTGTGCAGTGAAGAATTTCACAGATTTACTGTCTTCTGTGAAAAAGAAGTTCCTCCTCATCTTCGTCTTAGATGGGCGACTCCTGACTCTGAGATTGTGCCTTGGGGTCCAAGACTCTCCCACATGGAAAAACATCCTCTCTGCATCTACTTGCACAACCTAGTCAACCTCTCATCATAAGAAAATCCATCCACCAGCAAATATTTCCTTAGATACAGGGACCAAAACTGTTCACAGTATTTCAGGTGTGGTTTGACTGTTGCGTTGTTGAATTTCTGCAGAATCTCCATAATTTTATACTTTTCTACCTTTGAAATGAAGCCAAAAAACCATTTTCCTTTCCTATTACCCACTGAAATTGCACACTAGCTTTTTGTGATTCTTGCACAAGGACTCTGAAAATCCCTCTGTGCTGTGGCCTTCTCTATTTTTTCTCTATTTAAATATTATTCAGCACCTCTATTCTTCCCGCCAAAGTACGTAACCTCACATTTTTCCACATTACATTCCTGCTGCCAATTTTTTATCTACCCCCTTAATCTGTCTATATTCCTCTGCTCACTATGTGTCATTCTCATCACTTACTTCCCATGTATTTTTCTGTCATCTGCAAACTTGGTGATAGTATTCAGTTTCCTCATCCAAGTCATTCATACCTATTGTTACTAATTATGGCCCCAGCACAGATCCCTCTGGCACACCAGTAATTACAGGTTGCCATCCTGAAGATGCTCCCCTTATCTCAACTCTCTTGGTTAGCCAATCCTCTATCTTTGCTATTGTACTACCTCCAATACCACGGGTCCTTATCTTGTTAAATTGTCTTATGTGAACTATGTTATCGAACACCTTTTGGAAATCTAAGTATAGTACATATACTCAATCCCCTTTGTCTACCCTGCTTATTACCTCCACAGAAACTGTAATAAATTTGGCATGGTTTCCCCTTTATGTAACCATGTTAACTCTGCCTGATTATGTTATGTGTTTCTAAATAATCTGCTGCCTCATCCTTAATAATACATTCTAACTGGCTACAGTTACCTGTGTATTTTCTTTTTTCTGTCCTTTTTAAAGTATGCTGGCGTTTTCCAAACCTCCAAGACTTTTCCACAATCTGAGGATTCCTGGAAGATTACCATCCATTATTTCCGTATCTACTTCCTTTAAAATATGAGAGTGCTACCCATCATGTCTAGTAGACTTATTGGCCTTTTGCCCCATTAGTTCATTTGAGTAGTTCCCCACAGCCCTTTCTCTCTAGTGATCTTTATGTATTTAATTCCACTCCTTCTTATGTCCATGTTGATTTAATATTTTGGAATGCTGTTAGTGTCCTCTAACTGGAAGACTGATACAAAATATTTATTAAATTCCTCTGCTATTTCCTGGCTTCTGTGATTATTTCCCCAGCCTCGTTTTCTAAAGGGGCTGATGTTCACTTTAGCCTCTTTCTTCCTTTTTATATTTTTAAAGAAAATATTAATATTTTTATGTTACTAGTTTGCCCTTGTAGTTTTTTATCCCCCTCTCTCTTTTTTTGATCATTTGTTGTTGGCTTTTAAAACTTTCCCAATCCTCTGGTTTACCACCAACTTTTGCCATATTGTGTGTTTTTTCTTTCATCAGTTGTTCACTTCACTTCCGCCCTCTAAGATGAAGGTGGACTAGAACATCTCAGCTGGGCCCAACATTGCGGTTTCTCAGCCCGGCGTGGCCTCAGCTTGGATTTCCATCCCCGAGATGATTCCAGGGCAGTCTCCCAGCCTTGGGAACCTCGAGGTGAAGACTGCCGCAGTCTGGAGTCGAGGCCCAGCATGGACTGGAGACTGGGTGTGGGCGTGGACTGGATTGGAAGGACTGCTATTCTGAACTTGTTATTCCGTTACTTTTCTCATTTTTTCCTATTATCTGTAATGCTTGACTTTTTATTTCTTTATTTTTCTATTTTATTACATAAGAATTTGTACTTAAAAATCTGTACCTAGGTATCTTTTTACCTAAGGTGGTGCCGTTAGTGGCGATTTGTGAACTTTTCACTGCACTTATGCGACAATAAAGCTAATTCTAATTCTAATTCTAACCATGGTTGATTAATCCATTTCCTAGAATCCTTCGCCATTTGTATGAAAGTAAAGAAAAAAAAACTGCCGTGGCCCTATGACCATGAAGACTTTACATGACTGATTTTGGTCAGACAGTTCCAATCACTTGTCTGATAATCCCAGTGGGAGACTGGGCCTCATTAACTTTTGGCCAATGGGCTGCCAGCAGACTGTAAACTTTGTGAAGTAGTTCACCATGCAAACCTCCAGCCACTGGACTTCCCAGGTGAATCAGCTTAGTCCAGATCAGGAATCCACACAGACAGTGGTGGAATGGACCAGGGTTGAAATCATTCACAAAAACTCTTCATCAAATCACAGGATTCAAGATGTTAACTCTGCTTTCTTTCTTCCCCAACAACTACTGAAAGCCAAACTCAAACTCTGGTTCTGTGGGAGCCTGCCTCTTGCTTCAATTGTTCCAACTTGAGAAAACCCAAGGCCTCACATGTTGTTTACTTTATTAGCTTGGGACAAGCTGCTTGTCATTTCTGTCTCAAACTTTCTTTTTAAAAAAAAAAACAAAATACACCTCTAAAAGCTACAGTATTGTTACATCTCACCCACAACTCCACCTGCCTGCCCATTCTCCATAACCTTTCAACACATTACTACTTACAAAATCTGTCTGTCTATCGCCTGCTTAAATTTATTCAGTGTAACAGTGTCTGCTGCACTCCAGGGTAGTGAATTCTACACATTCACAACCTTTGAGAGAAGTAATTTCTCATTCCTGTATTAAATCTGCTACTCCTTGTCCCACAAGAGGAAACATCTGCTTTATGTTTATTTTATCAATCCCTCTTAGCATCTTATATACCTTAAATACCTCATCCTATTAAGTTCAAATGAGTATAAGCCTAAACTGCTCAATCTCTCCTCATAAGACAAACCCCTCACAGAGTCAGAGTCATAGAGTAATACAGCATGGAAACAGACCCTTCAGCCCAAACTGGTCCAGGCTGACCATGGTACCTACTCAGCTAGTTCCAACTGCCCACATTTGGTCCATATCCCTCTAAACCCTTCCCATCCATGTACCTATCCAAATGATTTTTAAATGTTGTTATTGTACCTGCCTCAAACACTTTCTCTGGCAGTTCATTCCATACACACATCACTCTCTGTGTGAAGAAGTTACCCCTCAGGTCCTTCTTAAATCCTTCCCCTCTCACCTTAAACCTATGCCCTCGAGTTTTCAATTCCCCATCCCTGGGAAAAAGACGATATGTATTCATTCAATCTATGCCCCTCATGGTTTGAGATACCTCAATAAGGTCACCTCTCATTTTCCTACGTTCCAAGGAATAAAGTCCTATTGTGGCCATTGACTCCCTATAACTCAGACCTACTAGTCCTGGCAACATCCTTGTAAATTTTCTTTGCACACTTTCCAGTTTAACTATGTCTTTCCTATAACAGGGTGACCAAAACTGTGCACAAAGCTCCAAGTGAGGCCTCACCAAAGACTTATACAATTGTAACATAACATCCTAACTCCTATACTCAGTACGTCGAATGATGAAGGCCAGCATGCTAAACGCCTTCTCCACCACTCTGTCTACCTGTGACACCGCTTTCAACAAATTATGTACTTGTACTCCGAGGTCCCTCTATTCCACAACACTCCTCAGGATCTTACCCTTACTCTATAAGTCCTACCTTGGTTTGACTTTCCAAAGTGCAACACTTCATACTTATCTGTATTGAATTGCATTTGCCAATCCTCAGCCCACTTCCCCATCTGATCAAGATCCCTCTGTAATTTTTGATAACCTTCTTCGTTATCAACAATACCTCCTTATTTTGTATCAACCACAAACTTACTAACCATGCCTTGTAAATTCACATCCAGATCATTTATGTAAATAACAAATAACAAAGGTCCCAGCACCGACCCCTGTGGCACACCACGAGTCACAGGCCTCCAGCCCGAGAAACAACTTTCAACCATGACACTCTCCTTCCTACCATCAAGTTAACCTTGAATCCAATTAGCTGGCTCTCCCTGGATCCCATGTGACCTAACTTTCATGACTAGCCTGCTGTGCGGGACCTTGTCAAAGGCCTTACTAAAGTCCATATAGACAACATCCACTGCCCTACTCTCATCCATCCTCTAGGTTACCTCTTCAAAAAACTCTAGAAGATTTGTCAGACATGAGTTCCCACACACAAATCCATGCTGACTATCCCTAATCAGACCTTGACTATCCAAATGTTGGTTGATCCTGTCCCCTCAGTGTCCTCTCCAATAACTTGCCTACCACTGATATCAGGCTCACTGGCCTGTAGTTCATTGGCTTGTTTTTTCTACCTTTCTTAAACAATGGAATAAAATTAGCCACCCTCCAGTCTTCTGAAACTTCACCAGTGGCTAAAGATGAAGCAAAAATCTCTGCAAGGGCCTCTGCAATTTCTTCCCCAGCCTCTGACAATGTCCAAGGGTAGACTTGATCAGGCCCAGGGGATTTATTCATCATAATGCGCTTTAAGGCTGCAGAAACCTCCTCTCTGGTAATGTGTATGCGGTCCAAAACACCCCCACTTGTTTCTTTTATTTCCTTAGCATCCATGATTCCCTCCTCAGTAAACGCTGAGGAGAAATATTCATTAAAATTCTCCCCCCTCTCCTGTGGAAAAGCTCCACATATAGATGGCCATGCTGATCTTTAAGGGGATCTATTCTCTCCCTAACACCCTTTTGCTCTTAATATAGCTATTGAACCTCTTGGGATTATCTTTTTGCCAGGTCCATCTCATAACTGCTTTTTGCTTTTCTGATTTCCCTCTGAATTATGCTCCTACACTTTTAATAGTCATCTGGGGATTCACTTGAGCCCAATGGCTTAAACCCAATGTATGCCTTCTTCTTTTTCCTGACCAGAACCTCAATATCCCTCGTCAGCCAGGGATCCCTAAATCTGCCAGCTTTTCCCTTTACCCTAACAGGGACATACTTCTAAAAGCCTCCCATTTGCCAGTCGTTTCCTTTCCTTCAAGCAGGCTCTCCCAATTGACCTCTGCTAGATTCTGCCGATTGGCCCCAATATTAGCCCTGCCCAATTTTGCACCCTAACCTGTGGACCTGTCCTATCTTTTTCCATAATTATGTTTCATCTAAGAGAGTTATGGTCAATTGCCTCCAACTTACACTTCAGTTACTCGCCCAACCTTGTTTCCTAAGAGGAGCTCCAGTGTTGCACCCTCTCGAGTAGTGCCCTCTACATATTGATTTAGGAAACTTTCTTGAACACATTTGACAAATTGAACCCTGTCCAGGCCTTTTACACTCTGGATGGCCCAGTCAATACAGGGGATATTAAAATCTCCAACCAATACTACTCTATTATTCCTACAGGTATGTGCAATCTCTCTACACATCTGCTTGTCTAGTACCCGCTGGCTATTATGGGAGTCTATACTACAGTCCCAATAGAGTAACCACCCCCTCCTTGTTTCTATGTTCTAACCATATGGCCCCATTTGATGACCCCTTAAGAATATCCTCTCTCAGATCTTTTGTTATGTCTTCCTTTATGAAAGGGCAACTTCCCCTCCTCGCTTATTTGTACTTCTGTCACGCCTGTAGCTTCTCCATCCTGGAACATTGAACTGCCAGTCCTGCCCTTCTCTCAGCCCTGTTTCTGTTGTGGCTGTAATATTCCAGACCCCAGAGCCAATCCATGCTCATCTGCCTTACCAGTCAGGCCTTGTGCATTGGTATAAATGCATTTTGTACCAGAAGCTTTTTCTCGCCCCTTTACTGTGCCCCTGGCTATCCTGAATAGTAAACCTGCTCTCGATGGCTAATGTATTTTCCCCTGACTTCTTGATGGCCCCTCTCTTATTCAGAGTCCCACCCCCCTGCCAAACTAGTTTAAACCTTCAGGGGTAACACTAGCAAATCTCCCCCCAAGGATATTGGACCCAGTCTGGTTCAAGTGCAATCCATCTCTCTTGTACAGGTCACCTCGATCCCAGGAGAGATCCCAATGATCCAAGAACTGAAAACTCTGCCCCCTACACCAGCTCCTCAGCCACACATTCATCTGGCCTATCTTTCTATTTCTATCCTCGCTGGCACATGGAACTGGGAGTAATCCAGAGATCACTACCCTTAAGGTCCTGGTTTTTAATTTTTTACCTAACTCACTGTACTCGTTTCGCAGGACCCCATCCCTTTAGTCTACCTATGTCATTTGTAACGATGCGCATAAGGACCTCTGGCTGTTCACCCTTCCCCTTCAGAATGTTCTGCAACTGCTCAGAGACATTCTTGACGCTGGCACCCAGGAGACAACACACCATCCTGCAGCCATAGAATCTCCTGTCTGTCCCCCTCACAACTGAGTCTCCTATCAGTATCGCTCTGTCTGACTGTACCCTTTCCCTCTGAGCCTCAGAGCTGGTCACAGTGCCATGACCCGACTGTGCTGCTGCTAGCCCCTGAAGGGTCACACCTCACCCTCTGCCAACAGTATCCAAATGAGTATACCTGTTATTGAGGAAAATGGCAACTGGGGAACCCTGTACTATCAGCTTCCCCCCTTTACCTCTTCTGGTGGTCACCCAGTTACCTGCAGCCTACACTTCAGGAGTCACCTCTTTGCTATAGCTCTTATCAATGATGTTCTCTGCATCCTGGATGATCCTGAGTGTATCCAGCTCCAGCTCCAGCTCCCGTTCCCTAACACGGTCTGTCAGGAGATGCGGCCGGGTGCACTTCCTGCAGATATAGCCACCAGGGAGCCTGGAAGTCTCCCTGATCTCCCATATCCTGCAAGAGGACCATGCCACTGCCCTAACTGCTATCCCTATGGCCTTGGGTGTAAACAGGAAGAAAGTAGAGTTAAAGAGCTCTCACCTGTACCCCTGCTCAGCTTCCTCACTCCGAAACCTCTCATGCAAAGGCCTCAACATTTCCATTCTAATGCTGGCCCACCCTCTTAATGGCTGCTCCCTTCTACACCTTTAC